AAAGTTTCATTAATAGTTTTGAATTTAGAAAAGTTTCATTGATCTTAGAATCCCTATTTGATCGTCTTTTTCATCATGCTTATTCATTGTGTGGTCCTTCATGAGTAATAGCCTATATACATGAGAATCCATGAGCATGCATAGTATCCATTAATTACGTTGCTTCAAACCCATCAAATAATTTAGTCACAGAGTGTCACTCTATTTTCATAACTTTTTCATCACATTTTTACCTATGGGGGTTCAAAATCGTTCCATACAAGACTGTTTTGGTGGTCCAAGGGACCACCGTATGTAGTTTGGCCATAACTTTCTTTTTTTTTTATCCAATTCGATTCAAACCTTTTGCATTCTGTTTTGGATGATAATGCCAATGTGTTGAGATCTTAAGATGTAATTTTAGTGTGTGTAATTTCTTCTCATTTGGATTAGACACTCTTGTGAGATTGAACCACTTTTGTACAATCCGAAGGGACAAAATAAAGTCCTTATAGGGCCCGATTGCTTGGCACGGCACAAGGGGTTCAAAACATGGCTTCCCTATTTTAATTTGGAATTCTAACTTTAGAATTTTGTTTAGATTATTTGCATGATGTATTTAAGCTTTGAGACATAGTTTATGCAATTTGTGCTATGAAATTGTAATTTATAAGCTAGTTTTGCTTTATATGTAATTGCCCCATAAGGGGTTGGTATTCGATTTTATTTACAGTGGTTATATTGTTAGAAATGGTTGTAGTTGTTATGTAAAAAGATTTTAACTTATTCACTTAGCTTGGTTTTTAGCAAGTGGCTTCTTGAAGGTGTCCATTTTGCCTTATTTTTCAACTTGAAAATTTGCTCTAGTCTTTGTATCCACTTTTACTCTCAACCACTGCTCCCTTGATCTTTAGCACCAATAAAGTTTTTCTGCGCTCAATTTATTATGAAGAGAACCAAGAAGAGTGACCTTCTCCTGACGAAGTATTATGAAGAGAACCAACAAATCTTGCTGAGTTTTCTACTTTATCTGAAACTTGGTTTATGCATCTAAATTTCTATCAGGTAAATTTGTCATCAGAAGACATGAGAGTAGAAAAATGAAGATACTAATTTCCCAATACAAATGTAGAAGTATTACAAGTTGTAGAGCGTCGGAGATGCCTCTTTTATACAGCGATAGAGTGACAGTAAAAAAACTTGGTGTGTAAGCTTGTTATTCAAACAAGAGGAAATATGTCTCTATACATAAAGCAATACAATGCGTTTCACCTACTACGCGTGATTATTCAAGTACCCCTAAGTCGAGATTTGGGAAATCTCCACCCTCAAATGTGATGATGTGCAACAAAAAACTAACCGCCGCAATGTTCAAGCGTGCGGTCACAATCACACAATGTCTTATGGCTTCCAGTAGAGTAACCATCACACATCTACTGGAGGGGCACACACTACCGGAGAAGACACATTTCATATGTGCATCTTCACAAATGGGACACCATTCATCAGATTCACAAAACAACCGAAGCCCAATAACTTACTACATGTAACTATTCAAATGTACATAAGTCAAGATTTGCGTCTTACAAAATCTCCACCATCAGAATGGCTCATCTGCTACGATGACGTGCATCAGGATATACTAAAGTCAATATTCAAGTGTGCACCCACAATCACACGGTGTCTTATGGGTTCTGGTAAAGTAATCATCACACATCTATCGGAGGGACACAAAGTACTCGAGTGCACCAATCCACTAGAGGACACAATTCAAATGTGCTTCTTCACTGGTCTGGTCCGGCACTATTCACTGGGTGTGCCAATCCACTGGAGCCCAATATACTTGAAGGCCCTTAGATCACCAATCCACTAGGTATTAATCTACTTAAGACTCACCAATCCACCAGGATTAATGTACTTAATGGCATAACATGTAGTGGCAAAAGGTTACGGCTTTTTATGCAAAGTATGTTCGTATGTGTGCGCATGCTACATTTGCTCCACATAGATCTTTTCTCTTATTGATTCTTAGAACATAAGTGAATAGGTTATCTACCTATTTAAAGTGTGCGGTTTTTGTAAGGTCACAACTTTAAACAATCCAATTAATGTGCACATCCAAATTGTATCATAGCATGTAATTTTGGTGAAAAAAATTATTAGGATTATCTCAAAATCTATTTTCACATCTAATTATTAGATTTTAAACTCCAAAAATAGTCAAAATAAAGTAGATATATAAACATATGAAAATCTTGAAAATGGATGGTCTAGATAATGTATTTCAAAATGCGCTATTTCTAAGACTTAAAATACTTTTTTTTCATATTCATATATCTCGATGTTGAGATGATCAATTAGAAGTTTTTCAACATTAAAACAACGTTTTAAGATCGACTTTTGAGGTGCATATGTTACATTTTGTGGTTGCAACCTTATATGAACTTTTCCATATTTAAATATGGTTTCGCTCTTCAACATCTTTAATGTGGATAAATAACCTATCACTTCTCCCTTCACACATAAGACAACGCATCATTACAAGGCTCCGCACATGCCAAAATACCATTGAACAAAAGGGATATTATTCTAAAAATAACGTAAGGTACTTCCTCAAAACGAAAATACTAACAATATTCTCTTTTTCTCTCCATTGTAATTTAATGAACCATCTTTAAAAATTCAGACCAGGTTGAACATGTCATCCACTAGTCTTGAATGTTTTTTTCGGCAAGTACATTAGTCTTGAGTTAAATTGGCTCAATCACCAGGTTTGCTTGGCCGATTGGCTATTCTTTTCTCTAAAAGAACAAGGCAAAAGGAGATAAGCCACAAAAAATTAAAAATAAAAACCAAATATTCAAAGTCATATATATGATTTCATATAATAGGAGGTATAAATCAAAAGAAGAAAATAAACGAAAAAAAATAAAATTCAATTTGTGAGATCCTTGGTTTTGATTTTTTTTAAAAAAAATACTAGGGATTTTGTAGATCAATATGATGGAACAATCCTCTGACAATTTTTACCAGATTTGTGAAATAATGAGAGAGATCGAAAATTTTCTATTATGGTTCCAAGAAAGTCTCAAATTTTGGACTTTTAATTTCTTCTATTTTGCATTTCAATCCTGCAATTTGTTATAGCGGTATGTAATAGGGTTCCAAGACGGATAATATGAAATAAGTTTCAAATTTTGAAAATTAAGAGAGAAAATGCAAGAATGGAACACCAGGTTTTAATGGTCGAAAAATCATGAGATTTTGATGAAAAACATCTCACCAAAAGCTGGAATTGATCCAAATAGCTTTATTTTGGACCTAAATTGGGGCTAACATAGATTAATTGGTGTTGGAATCAATCAAAATTGGGGGTTAAAATGGATAAGAATCAATCAGGGAACCAAAAAAGAAAAAAAGAAAAAAGAAAAAAAGAAGATGTTTGCTTTTGTGATTTCAAAAAACAACAAAAACAAAGTTGTTTCCTTTTGCTTTGTTTAACGTGAAACTGGGCGTATTGCTTGACTCATCTAAGTCTACGATATTTTGAACCTTGAACTAGTTGAATGCATGTGTTCAACATAATTTATTGGATGCATTAAATATCAATAATATATATATATATATATATATATATAATTAATTAAATTTAAAATAAAAAATTAGCAAATAAATATAGATGGTATACACTATTCAATGAATTATTTTGGGATAATTCAGTGGGGGAAGATAGGCCCCTACCTTCTTTTTCTGTTTTTTTCTTTAGGGAGTTAGCTTGTTGGAAAATGTCATTGGGTGGTGTAAGCACGATTGGAAATCACAACCTCATAATTAGGTTTGGGGGTGCTAAAGAAACTAAACCGTATAATCTTTATCCTAAATATTTATCAAGTTTATATAAGGTTGCAACTTTAAAATGTATGAATTTGAAAATATTGAGATTTATGAATATAAAACGAAAAAAAGATTTCGAATAAGCAAAATAATGTATTTACACATTATCTGGACCGTCCATTTTCAAGATTTTCATTTGTTTATAGATCTACTTGATTTGAATCATTTTTAGAGTTTAAAATTTTATCATTAGGATGAAAATAGATCGCAAGCCATCTTAAAACCTTTTTTTATCAAAATTACATTTATGGTAAAATTTAGAGGTGTGCCTTAATTGGATTGTCTAAAATTGCAACCTTATGCAACCACACCCTTTATCTCTTGGGCGTGGCCAGCCCGCATATTGTAGAACTGCAAGCCCTACAATAAATATATTTTAAAATATAATTTGATCCTAATTTTGAGAGAGTATATAATCTTTAATATGGAGATCATGAATATGACAAATTTTCATTTTTTAAAAACTAAAAACAACAATTATATTAAGAAAACATTTGGACCAGGCCTCCATCTTTAAGAAGGATGTTTTATACCTCTAGACTTTATATTGTACAAATGCGGTGTACAATATGCCGTCGAGCCTGCATGAAACAATTGGTCATATGATATTATCTAATATTGGGGCAAGCAAATAAAATCACGATTATTTAGACTAAAGTTAGGGGTCAATTTGGTCATTACCAAAAAAAAGGGCTAAACAATCAAATTAGAGCCCACCTTTAGATAGTGTCAAAATATATGGTTTTAAAATGGAAAATTTTTGTGATAGCTTTAAAATATATTTTTATTTTTATTTATAAAGTTTAAAGCTTCAAAAATAGTGTAGATTGACCGAACTATAAAAACTTGAAAATCTTAAAAATTGACTGTCCAAAAATGCATTACAAAATACACAATTTTTAGAACTTAAAATCTATTTTTTCTCATGTTCATATATATTGATGTCGAGAATATGAATTTGAAGATATTTGAGCATCAAAACAACCTTTTTTTAGTGAAATTTTTGAGATAGGCTATAATTTGATTGTTTAGAGGCTCGGCTCTATATAAACTTTTCCCAAGAAAAACAAAAAAAAGTGCAAGCGTTATTTGGGCCCTTTAAAACCCAACTAAAACGTCAGACACTGTGCTTCTGGACCTTTATTCACTGTACGGAGAAATGGGGATCTCTTCCTTTGCCAGTGGAAATGAGCTGGGTGCCATCGGATCAGGCCTCTCCACCCTCCAGCCCGCCTCAAGAAGCAGAAGAAGAGTTCTGGGAGGGTTTGCTCTTGGAGTTCAGAGGGCCATCTCAGAAAATAGTGGGAGAATGGTAGGGCTAAGCAAGGACTTGAAGTCCATGGCCGATGTTAATATGGACCAAGCAATGGCTCGCAGAAGGGCTCGTGAGGCCTTCATTCCAATTCATCAGGGTCTTGATCACTGTCTCTTCAAGGTTCGCTCTCTCTCTCTGATCTGTCTCCATCGTCTGCGTCTGTAGGTTTCTGTGTTTTTGTGATCGAAAATTCACACGTTCTGAAGTTGAGGTCTTAGATTTCAGACTCTGCTGAAATTTTCGCCGAAATTTTCGTTTTTGCGACCGAAAATGATCTAACATGGCAAAATTTTGACAAAATTTTGGTATTAAATTTCATTTCTTGGAAATTTCCAAGAAGCAGTTATTCTCCTGAAAACCAGCAAAACTACAATGAAATTTAAATTAGGTGAAAGTTTTTACCATGCAAAGTAATTTATACTTAATTATGTACAAATGTTGAATGAACTATTTGTTTGCAGTAGTTGTTATTGTTGATTGTTTAATTATATTATTATTTTTCTCAGTTTATTTGTCTTTTTGATGCAGATGGACTCACGAGGGATTCGGACCGAGGAGGTAAACTGAATAAGTCTTTAGATGAGCAGCTAGTAACATCTTTGTTAGGACCAAAATGCCCAAGATGTTCCAAGAAATTAAATTTGAAAAAAGTTTATATTAGGTTGCAAAGTAGAATTAATGATGTACCTCAAAAATCTATTGAAAAATGTTGTTTTAATGTTGAAAAACATCTTGATATTGAGATATATGAAAATGAAAAAAAAAAAAGATTTTGAGTCTAAAACTTAGTGCATCTTGCAATACATTATCTAGACCGTCCATTTTCAATATTTTCATAGGTTTATAGATCAACTTGATTTTAACCATTTTTGAAGTTTAAAATTTTATAATTAGATATGAAAATAAATTTTGAGACAATCATAAAAATGTTTTACTCCAAAATTACATGTTATGATAAAATTTGAAGGTACACTTTAATTGGATTGTTTAAGGTTGGAACTTTATAGAAACCACACCCATTAAATTTTAAAATATTTATGGTTTATTATAAGGACCAGGTTGGTGTACGGCCAACCCGCATAATGTAGAAATACGGGCTGGGCAATAAATATATTTTTAAATATTATTTTATCCTAATTTTTAGAAAATATGTATTCTTTAACATGAAGATCAATACATAAATAAATTTTGAAAACTAAAAATAATAATTATATTAAAAAAACATTTTGACCCTTAGTTACAATTGAATTTAGTTGGACGACCTATTTGCATCCACCTTTAAGATGGATGCTTTATAGCTCTGGATCGCATATTGTACAAATGCGGTCCAACCCACATGAAACAATAGAAATGCGGTTCAGGCCACATGAAACAATTGTTTTTATCATAATGGGATTGTATATAATGAGATTATTTAAACTTGTTACAAGGAGGTCACAACTACTTTTAGTAATTAGATATTATATTGGATGGCATCCGAGTCTCACAAAGTTTGAGAATATTTTGTTGGAGCTTTAAATCTAATCAATAATACTCTTAAAACCACCTCATGTCAAATTGGTGGACAAGATTGACCTCTTTGTACCAAAAGTAAATGGTCTCTTTATATGTTTTTTTTATTGTAATAATAGAAACAAATTTATACGGTGTCAATTTTATACTATTGAATTAAGTTACACTTCAAAATTCTCTAGAAGAGAGTGTTCCGAACTTGGGAAACCTTCCAATTTGATCATTTGTACCTCGAGCGGTATGAATATAAACAATAAGGGAATTTCAAGATCGAAAAATAGTGCATATTGTAATATGTTATATGGACATTTTCAAGTGATTATAGATCTACTTGTTTTATACTATTTTTAAAATTTCAAATTTCGTAACTAGGAATAAATATAGATTTGCAAGCCAATATAATATTTTCTGACATTGAAACTCCCTTGGCAAAATTTAGAGGTGTGCTTTACTTCTTCAGTATAAGGAGGACACCTCATACAAAACCTTGGCCATTATATTATATTTCCAAAAAGCAAATTGTACTAGTATGATGAAATTTTAAAAAGAAAAATATCTTCTTATCTCTTATTTGTAACTTCTCTACCTCTTTGGATATAAGGATGAAAAGTATTACTTAGAAAACAAAAAAAAACTTTTCCGATCTTGCGACCCCCTTAATCCCTTTTGAGATGCATGTTTTTACCCCAATAAAAATTAAAATGGCATCCTCTCTCAGCAGTGGGGTGGCCGTCGGTTTTTTTAAAGAGAGAGAGAGTAGGTGAAGAACGCTAGAGAGTGAGAGAGAGAGAGAGGCGTGAGATGGAGAGATGGTGGAGAGAGGAAGGCGGACGAGGAAGAGAGAGCAGTGTCAGAGGATGAGAGTGGGTGAGTACTGCTGCGTGCGGCGGCTGAGGAGAGAGCAAATGGGAGGGTCGTGGGAAGAAGGCAGCAGCAGTGGGCTTGTTGTGTGCGTTGGTTGCGACGGTTGAGGGAAGCGGCAGCTGATTGAGAGGCGTGAGGGAAGAGAGAATAGAGAGAAGAGAGAAGAGAAAAATCCGGTGACAAGTCCGTCCACCTTCTATTCGAAAAATTTCCAAATTGAAACAAAAAAAGAACATTGACTCAGCAAAGAAAAACCAACAGGCACGCCACTGCACTTTCTTTCTGTCCGCCATCCCTCTCAACCAGCTGTGGCCCGGCCCCCATTTCCACCTATTCATTCCACCTTTGCAGTCACCATCCGCGTTTTACCCCTCTTCTCAACCAAGCCATGATCACGACCCGCAACAAATCCATCCCCTGTTGCGGCCCCCCTGCTGCGGCCCCCCTGCTGCTGCTCCCTTTTTCCCATCCTCGTCCATCTCTTTTCCTTCTTCATGTGCCCAAAATCCATCCTCGTCCATCTCTTTTCCTTCATCATGTGCCCAAAATCTACAACCAGGCACCACCCCCCCTTTCTTCCATCTTACCTGCAACCAAGCCCTCATTTCCGCCACCAGCAGTCGGCCCACAACTCTGTTGCCCCCCTCTCAACCTCTGCCACCGCTTTCTCTCTTTCGCTAACCAAAATGCTGAGTTACACTTAACCAAGTCTATCCACCAAACAGTGAAATTTGAGAACCAAAAGAAAGCTTTGGCTGATTCAACAATTGCACTTGTTGTTTCAGCCACAAAATTCTTTTATTAAGCCCCGAAGGATTAAGACCAAACAAGTAAATACTAATATTTTCTATCATGCAAAAAAACCCGACTTTCCCAAAGTATAGAAATCTGGTTTTTGCTGCCATGGTGCTGCCTCTTTGATACATAGTCAAACACTGATAAAGAGAGACCCAAGAAGCAAAATTGCGACCATTGTGACCCAGAAAAGACCCAACTTGCCAAAGCCATGAAGAAAGGTTTGGCTGCTTCGATTATGGCGTCCTATGTTCTCCGCCAGCAAAATGGTAATCTTGGGGATCTCTACTTGATTGGGAGAGAGAGAGATGATGCTTTTTGATATATATATATATATATATATATATATATATATATATATAG